TTTTTTTCTAAATATAGCACGATGATTATATTTATATTATCTCTATATTTTCTGGATCCAATGCTTCACAACTAAGAATCTTGTAGTGTACCGATTATATTTTATTTCCATGTTTTTTTTTTCTTTTTTCATGGATTGAACTTAGTTCCAGCAACAACTGATAATCCTAAATTTTCATTTTCATTAAAGATATTTACATCTTTAGTTTTTTTTTTTTTAAATTCTTTTTCGATCGATCGAGATTCCGAAGTACTATTGGTATATATTTTTTTGTCGTACTATTATATAAGTATACTAATATGGAGAATATTTGATTATTAATGGGTGACTGGGCCGAATATTATTGAGGTTAAAATATGCCCTGGGTAAAGTACTTCTTCTGGCCACCATTGCGTTAGACTTAGATTCATATTTAGAACCCACTCACAGTCTTCTACATGTCAGATTTAATAACAACCACTAAGTTGTAGCCTATAATCTAGGCCCGTGAATATTCTCCGACATTCAAATTAACCGAATCTCTAAAACCGAATTTTAGTACACCTTCCTAGTTAGACATTGTAACCGGGCCCGTATATATATAGTGCAGAGTATTGTACATTATATAATCATATGTCTACACCTTCATAATTCATATAATCACATGCAATATATATCACTTCATGACGAAGACATTTTTATGTGAAAGAGGATGTATACTAGATTATGAATAACATGACAATATAATGAGATGAATACTGGTAAAAAAAATAATTAAAAACGTCAAACCAGTGGTTTATTCGAATGGAAGATGAATCGTCTTGTAAATTTAGGTTAGAGAACAAATGTACTATTAACGAAAATCGTTGGAGTTTCTAGCAATCGTAAACATTTATAAGTGTGAAAAATAATTGGTTTTATACACGTCTCATATACTAGTCTGGGTTTCGGTCTAATAAATACCCAAGTTACTCAATGTATATCCATATTACACCTTTACCCAAAAAATGATGCATCTATCAAAAGCCAAAAAAAAAACATGAAAATAGTATTAAATGAAGGATCAGTCGACAGTTTTTCTGAATGTTTGTGGGCAACGAATGGTTTATACAGTGTAACTATTAAACAACAATCGTTTTCTTTCTTTACTACCAAAGATAGAAATATAGCTCAAAGTATTTTTTGTCCATTA